GCACAGCTTCATAGTTGCATACCAGTTATGTGCAACCCTAAGTATAAACTTGTTATTCATTTGAACTTGTATGTAAGCATTTATATTGTTATGCAAGACTTACGATGTAGAAATGCGTCAGCTTCTAAATCATCCTACATTTTGACTGCTTGACTTACTTTGTGTAAGCATGCTATATAAAAGTATGTGACAGATTATAAGGGGTACACTGACGGATTGAGAGGCTTGTACTGTACCAGTTTTCACTAGCTCCTTTATAAGCTCCTCCTTCAATCGGATGTTGAGGGCAAGCTCCTTGATCCTCAGGTGGGCACGGTCATACCGTAGCTCCGCCTTCCTCAAGCATTGCAGGTTTATAGCTTCAGTCCTCTTCAGGGCATGCTCCTCTGTGGCCTGCAGGCCATTGCAAGGCCCAATGCCATTCGCATCGTAGTCTGCTACAGGACAATGGGTAGGGCCAAGATGAGACATACGTGAAGTCACCATTGTTTCAGGGGACAGCACCTGCGGTATACCAGTAGCGTTTGCTGACATAGTTGGTTAGTCTGCTTGGTAGACATTAAATGGCACTGGGTTGGCCGGCACAGAAATGATGCCAGAAACCAACCCATCCATCCATCCATCCAACACAAGAATTATAAATTATAAATGGTATTTACCTTATACTCTCAAGCAGTCCCCAGTCAAACCAAAACAAAGCCAATGAATTAACCAAATTAGTGGGTTATATTTGTCCACGTCTGATGTCACGCGGTAAATGTCACCGATGATGTGGACACATTGTTATTCCATGGCTACTTCTGTGCCCAAAACAGCAAAATAGAAAGCCTGGAGAGGAACTGCAGAAGGATGGGGCTATATAAACGAAATAAGTAAAAGCACCTGCAGGGGGTAGGACTTGGGGAGGGGCGTCCCACCGAGGAGGCAATGGCCTCTCTGGCCTGTTCCTAGAGGCCACATCTGGGCTAAGCCGGCGGGTCCAGGTGCGGTTCATCGCACTTCTGCCACAGAGACAGAGGCTCAGTCGTGACTGGAGGCTCAAACTCAGACTCTCATACAAATGAAAGTAATTCACAAATTTCCTGTAGCATAAGTATTCCAGTACCATCTCACAGCCCTACAGAAAGTAGGTATATTGAGAACAATGGCTCACTTCCCTGGCAATCTTACTTGAGACCTTTGATCTGTTCTTTTTCCTTTGTATCATCTTCCTCCTCATCACTATCAGAGCCAATGTCCTGGGCCAGAACCTCATCTTTCTCTTCGATCTGGGCCAACAGCAGCTGGCTGCGGGTCTTGAAGGCCGCCATAACTCTCTCGAGGGAGTACGCTGGTGGACTGGTCTGCACCTACACACACAAACATCAGCTCACACTTCCTCGTGAAGATACATTCGGGACAGAAATGCCTCCTGTCTGTCTCCCCCCTTAATCTTATCAACTGCTGAAGTTCTAAATCTGCAGGTGTAAAGGAAGGTCCTACCTTTCTATTTCCAGCTTTGTCATGGCCACACAAGTCTCTCTGTGGCTGACTAAGCAAAGGCACACTATACGGCCTCCATGCAGCAGGGTCAGAGCCCCCGACATCCACTGACGCCTCAGAGGTGCATGTCCTGGTCCTGGAGGCCATAAGGTCGTTTCTTAGACGATCGATCAACAACTGCTGTTCCTCAAGTTTCTCATTCTGAAAAATCAGTAATATGTAATATTTTGAATAAGTCAGCACCACAATAAGGTTCAATATTGTAAAACCTCATTTAGCTAATATTTGATGTCCATCCCATTATCTTTTAATGAACTGCTGACCGTGATCCCATAACTACAACCAGGTTGTCTATATTACTGGTCTTCTGCCATCTATGCATCTCATCTACTACATGTTGACAACTCTGCCTGGCTGGTCTTCCATAAGCCTAATGTCAAACTCAAACATCGGTCACAATGCCCCAGTTGTCACCCTCTCAAGGAGCTGTTAAGCTCACCTATAAGTTAATCTCACCTGTAGGCGACTCCTGTTCCTCTCCTCCTGCAGGGACCTCTGGTATGCCTGGCTCTGCTGCTCCAGTCGTTTCATTTCAGCTTGCAGCACCTCCAGCTGTGACTCTTTCTGGGAGAAGATCTGTTCATCCATGGCCAGAGAATCCTAGAAGCAGGATAAGATTTCATAGCAGAAAAAAAACTGAGTAGTTGAAAAACCAATGAAATATAGCATTAGTTATTACTCCTTAAATCCCATTACCACCTTTTCCTCTTTCATGTTCATTCATCACAATAGTGACCCACAAATACCACCAGCCAGCCAGACACACCTGCCCAGAAACACTCAGAGGTACAAGTACCTGACACTTTTTGAGCTCTCGTCTGAGCTGCAGGATAGTGATGTGATAAGGCTCTACTGCTGTGTTCTCCAGAGATCCAGTCACTGAGGTGGACTTCTGGTTCTGCGCCTCCTTGTACACTTGCAGCCACTCCTGCAGGAGCCGACTATGCGTGGAACTTAAGGCGCCATTCAAGCCGGAGTCCTGGAGATCTAGCAGGAGCTGGACAGCCCCCTGAGCAAGTCTGCGGAACTTGAGAAGCTCCTGCTGGCACCTGGCCAGATCATCAGCCCGCTCGGACCCCCCTGGTGGGCGCGTGCGCCCCCCATCTCGCAGAGCTTCACGTAGTGTCTGCACCTCCATTTCCAGCTGCCCCAACCGCTCCTGGTCTAGGTGCTGGTTCACCACGGGCAGGTTGAGGATGGCTCGGGCACGGTTAGCGAACTTGAGTGAGCTGAGTGTTTCGTGGAGGCTGTGGGATGAGGGGCTGACGCAGGTGATCACCAGCGTCTGGGCGTTGCCTCCCAGTGAGTCCTTCAGCAGCCGGGTTACCTTGGCGTCGCGGTAGGGCACGTGCCGTGTACGTCTGCGTGGGTCGCCCAGGGCACGGATGACATTACCCAGCGCCAGCAACCCACTATTAATCAGGGCCGACTCCTGAAGGCGCTGACCCGTGTTGCCCATCCTGCCAGCCCGCTCTGATCCCGCCAGGTCCACCAGGTGGAATTTGGAGGACACGGTGCGGCCGTCATCAGGGTCGTGCCGCGTCAGGAAGATGGTGAAGACTGCATGGGAGCGGCTGGAGTCGTCGTTGACGCGGGTGGGCCCTGCGTGACGTGTGGCGTTCCCTGCCTGCAGTACACTCATCAGCTCATCCACAGATTCCACCAGATTCTCCCGTGCTCCCACTAACACTGACAAAAACAAGAAAACAACCTCACTCTCATTACTACCCCTATCACCAATGTAAAAAACAAACAAGAACAAACCGTGATTTCTCAATAAGGATTCGTGCCACTTTTCAATATATAAGACCAGACTCAGCTACCATCCCACCACGATGCTGATTCATTGCTTGTCTTACCAGTATTGCCTTTCTCATCTTCTCGGATGTGCATGTCTTTTGAAGATGTGTCCAGCTCCAGAAGATCCCTCAGCTCTTCCTTATAAACCTCGATGTAAGAGGCCTTTACTGTGAAGTCTGAGTTGTGCTTCTCTGCAATGTGTTGAAAGATGTCCTGAATGGCACGAGGGATGATCCCTCTCTCGCTTTCTGTAGAGGAAGCTTGGGAGAAAATCCATCCAATGTCAAGGATCAGAATACAAATAAACAATGAAATATAATCAACACAGCTTTGTGGATATTGTAACATTGGACAAATATTTTTCATTGTATTGGTATTATTTATTTATTTTACATTAATCTGTTCAATCCTGGATTGCATAAGCAGTTGAAAGAATGACATACTGTATGGATTATTTGATGCAATTATGCAAACAGGCATTCAGGTCTATGTCATAGTGAAATTAGACATAGTCAGCATTAACACAACACTCGTCTTTAAAACCTTCAACGTTATTCGGTCTTTTGCAATGATCTACTCAATGAGACATTATTTGTTTAATTACTCACCAATGTTGCTCCCTCCGATTGTGTACGTTTTTCCAGATCCAGTCTGTCCGTAAGCGAAGACGGTGACGTTATAGCCGTCCATTAGAGAGGTGACCAGCGGTTTAACGCAAGTGGAGTAAACTTGATCCTGTTGGGACTTGGGTCCGAAGGTGAAGTCAAAGGTGAAGGTGCGGTCATTCCCGAGAATGACCTGCGGAGTGTTTGGCACCACACGAACGCACACCTGCTGGTTGTGCAGGATCTCTTTCGGTAGCAAAGGTCTTATTCGCACCGCTACCTTTACCTTCATTTCCCCCATGATTCGAGTTATTATTCAGAAAGTTCGAGTTTATTTTACAGAATGACAGAACGCCGGAATCAGAATTTTGGCAGAAATCCACAGATCAACTGGTTTGCTGAAAATCCCCAATAACTCACCATGACATCTGCCTAATTTACCAGCTAACTTGTAGAAGTTTTGTGGTCAAACGAAAGACATTGCCTTTCTGCATGGCGTATTTTTCCTGCGCTGCAAGCGGCCACATGTCTACGGTTTTCTGATGTCGTTAACTTGCAATAACCGATTTATTACAAACGACGATGTATTGTCGGATCAATGACTGTCATTTTGAAAGAAATCATATTGTTAATTGCCTTCGTTACTTGGAGTTCTAAATAAAACAACTCATATTACTAGTCTTTAATGTTATTTAACTGTAAATAGCCAGTAGTTAAGCTATAACATACTTTCTTCGGTGTAACTCGAGGCTTTGGTTGTTCCTGTCTCTTAGCAACCCCCGAATGCCCGAATAGCCAAGAAGAGCGCTTCCTCTCTGTCCAAGACGGAACTTTCAGAAGAATTTTTTAAAAAGTACCGCAGCGCCCCCACGCTGTCGATTTTAGAGTCATTTTCTAGAGCTACCGATGTTGATAGGTCTTCAGCGGTCTCAGCAAAGGAATTTTTGAAAGACTATTTACATGCAGACTATTTATACGAGCTCACCTTGTCATCACTGTACACACTGATATCTACGATGAAATGCTTCAAAGAATAAAGACAAGACACATTTCCAACTTTTCAGACGTTTTATTCTAAGAGCAAATGGATCATAATCCAAGGAATTAGAGGGGAGGTTCTTAGCAGCCATCTGGGGTCTGTTTGTAATGAAGGCAGTGTTATGACAGCAGGCCAGCGTCTGTCAGTAATAAATGCAGCGAGTGAGATGAATGGGAATGTGCGCCATCTGCATGTGGTGCTCTTTGGCATATGACCACAGAAAGAAGTCGATGACAGCAGAATTAATGTCCTCATTTGATTTCCCCTCACTCTGCTCTATGAGACTCCACAAGTGGGTCCTGATCTTCTCCACACACCAAATGGAACAGCCTCGAATCTCCACTTCTCTTCTGTCTCCTGAGGGAAGCTGTAACCCTGGTGTGGGAAAAGAGAATAAAGTCATAGCCTGTACATGGTCTGCAACACAGACACGAACACAAGCACACATAGCATTAATACAGGTCAAAATGACAGGCCATCTCTCTCTCTCACACACACTGTGTAACATTGAAATATTGTGAAGCCAATTGTAAGCCACAATAAGTGATAAACATGTCACTACTAGAGAATGCATGATAAAGAGGCACAAAGCAAAAGCCAATCACTTAACATAAGGGGGTAATTATGCTTGGACGGGGTGGTGAGGAAATCTCCAAGGCACCTCGATCTAGTTCTGAAATGAAGATTCTCATCTGGAGTTTTGCTGAGCCTCAGGTATCACTTTACAAAAACCAGAGGTCAGACAGGGGGGCCATACCCTCTTTGAGCGTGGTCATGAGGGAGTCGGAGTACCGCAGCGCTCCCAGGTGGACAAGGGCCTGAGGGACCCTGTAGTCTGCAAACATGGTTAGATGGTGCATGTTCGGTATGCAGGTTTCTCCTCTGGCCTCCATTATGACACAGAAATCGGCCACAAGGATCTGGGCTCTTTTATAGAAGGCCAATTTTTTACCCTAATGGATACAAAAAAAAAAAAACAGGATGATTGTTTAAATAAAAAGACAAATAATAATCATCTAGTTTAACACCATATGGTGGGTTAGGGTTCTAGTTAAGTCCCTGCAGAGGGTGCTCTGACTTAACTGTAATAATAGTGATAATAGTGGCGGACTTCCATATGCCTCTGAGAGACTAAGATGGCGCCTAACAAGTACATAGTGCAAGTTGTGGGAACACAAAGCAAAAAGTAGGAACATGAAACTATGACAAGCTCAAATATCACAATACTCATGATACCCGAGCAAACCTACTGGTATCATGTTGGTATCTGGAAGCACTTACCTCAAATACCACCTCATCTCTGTACGATGGCAAGCTTTCCACAATGTGTTTGATGAGCTCCTCTGCATCATTTTCACCTTTCGCCATGAAGCTGCGGACAGAGCCCCCGAACTGCAGCAGCACCTTCCCAGCCTCGTTTAGGACACGGTGCCTCTCTTCGATCATGGGCATGGGTGTCTCATTGTCAGATCGCAGGATCTGCTTCAGTTCATCCAGAGTCACGCTGGCCATGTACGAGGCCTCCGTGATGGGGATGTCTAAGGGAAGTCAAAGCAGACCACTGAAGATTATGATCATTGTCACCTAGGGCAGTGTTTCTCAAACTGGTCTGTAGAGACCCCCAGATGGTCCCCAAGGGCCAGCTGGAGAAACCATGACCTAGGTCACTATGGTGAGGGCAGACAGCCACATACAGCGCAGAAAAAATGGAAGATCAGCTTCTTTCTGATTGGTTCCAATCACCTTCTTCCATAGCCCTGGTGATGGCTGCACACAAAGCCATGTAACCACTGTAGATTTTGTCTTGATAGGTAATGGTGCAGGGCTTCTCCCCAATGGGGTGCCAGAAAGAGAAGTTCATGGTGTCCACAACAAACACCCAGTGAATAGCCTGGTCTGTGCTCCAAGACGGGGTTAATGCATTCATCATCTTCAGGCTTTGCAGAGCAAAACCTTGAGACCCACGTATTGCATACAGCATCTCTGCTATCTTCCTCACGCCTTCTTCTTCAATGGACACATCTTGACTCCTTTCTGCAACAAACCGCCCGGAATCTCTGGGAGGCAAAGGGATATCCATTGGTCCAACTTGGGTATACCCTTATAAGAACATAAGATGGCAATAATGAGATTTAATAAATCAGATGATGCAAACAAACGACCATTTTACATTTGGTGGTAGTTTTACAATTTAATTATTAAAAGTCTTACCTCAGAGAGAATAGACAAATGCATGGTATATACTTGGTTTTATACTGGGTCTTGGTCAATCGGATTGCAAGTGGACAGTCAATACACATCGTCATTTATACCCATTTTATCATGCTTCTCCAAGGTGGGCACCTGACCACTAGCGTTCAGATTTCTTTACTCCCTACGCTACCTCCGCTAGGTAAATTATTGTGATATCTCTGTCAGGGATGCATCGTTTATGCTACAATAGACATATGGTCAAATGCGTGCCAAACCACTTCGGGATGTGGTCCGAGTGATCGGATCACGATGTGTCTTGGTGGTCGTTGCCTTGTGATCCGATCGACTAAGACGCATTTTACAACCAGACGTGAACAGGATCATAGTATTTCGAAGACCTCTTCCCACGTGAACAGAGAAATACACCTGCATTGATAATTCCAGTAGTGTATGGCTAAACCTTTCTTGTATATATTGGAAACAAACTCTATTTGTAACTATCAAATGGCATTTAGGTCAGTAAAACACATATATACGATGTTAGAGAAGCATTAGCCGTCCTTATGGTCCCTTATCTTCTACAGAACAACCTGATCTTAACCTTTGTGCAGTCAAGGAAGCTGCTGCATTAGTGTCCATTATTTGTATATTAAACATAAATACTTCTAAAAGTCCGCAAACTTCGTGTTATGGGATGCATATGTATATATTCCCTCGTGATTTTTTTTCTCATGAAAATGGTTTTTAGCCATTTTAACACCGCATAAGTAAGCAGCTTCCAGAACACGCAGCTGAGCAGGAGGCAGTAAATATACAAGCAGAGATTTAGGACCGACGTCATGACACTTCGGAGAAGCCCAGTAATATGCGGTCTTTAGAGACCCAGCCGTGTTAGAACGCTTCTGTGTAACGAAATGGACAAAGTTCAACACAAACGCTCATGGGACGTCAAGCAATCCTTTTAAAGCTGCATTTCATTTATTACACTACAGTAAAAGCCGATGGTCGTTACACTTAAAGGAACAGAACTTGTTTGTTTTTCCCGCGTATAAGACTAGAAGCATCCAAAAACAGCTGCCGTACCTGAAGAGAGACTGCCCTGCACCCATCACACTTACCTCCTGCGACCCGCTGCGATATCACATCCGGGTCGCCACTCTTCTAGCCAATCAAAATCCGCTAGGACTGCGCCCATGTAAACAAGGTGCTGTACCAACTGAGGTATGGAAAATGACCTTATTGTGCCGATATCGCCGGTACTACATATACAGCGGACTGTACATGTAACTGTGACATTAGAAAATATCCAAGCGTGTAATATTTATCCACGTTAGTTTCCAAATTCCAATTCTATTCACATTTGGATTGTTTTCAGCTTAAATATTTTTGTCCGTTAGCCGAAGTGAGCACAAGGCATAAGCCCACCAACGTGTAGGTGGGTAGCATTAATTTTAACATTATCCTTTACCGGGTGAAAATACGCAAGGTCCACGATCGCAAAGATAAATGTAACCACCTCATGTAAGCCAGATAACAGGTTTTGCCATTTATCTAACCTGTGACAAACTGCTGTCATTTCTAGAGCAAATAATAATGCTTTAATAATTCCCTCCAGAGAGAGGGGTGGGCTTTTTGGACTTGGGGGAAGGAGGGAGGTTTGAGTATTTATCCCATTGCGTGAATAACCCTGTCAAAGGACAGAATTAAAACCTCATCGGCCAAACAATCGCGATGCACATTTAACAGATCCTGCATGTCGTCAGAAACATGGACAAATGGCCTCCGTCAAGCATGGCCGCGGCGTTCCAAGAAAGCACGTGGAGTAAAAGGTAGCATTTCACTTTATTACTCACGGACAGCAAACTGAACAGGGTTTCAGAAGGAATGTCAACTTCTGCAAACATATGGGACATGTGGCACTCTGATGGCTACGCTGCTCCCTGAATCACAAATAAACACTCTAGACGTTTAGCTCCCTGAATCACAAATGGACATTCTAGACGTTTAAAAATGCTTAAATAAAATGTAGAAAACTAGTTTGAGTTTCGTTAACGGATTTAGTTCAGATTTTAGTCATACAATGAAATGGGGGTTGGGGGGGGATATACCCCCCCAACGCACAAATATTTCTATTCATAGATTTAAAAAAAAAAAAAAGACAGGTGAACAGCAAAATGTATTCCATCCTTATACAAAGCAATGCGTCTGGATGCAATACCCACCCGCCCGCCCATGTCAAACCCCATTTGGTCCAATCAGTACACTGGATTATGATGCACCAAAGACAAATTTGGAAGGAAATTTCAAATTTTATAAAATTCATAGAAACAATCACTGTATATTTACATTTATACAGCCCCCTCGTCTCAGACACTGCCAGGAAAAGAGTCGTAAGGAAGCACGATCGCCTGCATTCGGCTTTAAGAGTCGGGCTCCTCCTCTAACACATTACGTCCTGCTCACTGTACTGAAGGCATGCTGGGCTTTAGTCCGCCGGCAGCAGCCGCGCTGCTCACACAGTGTTCAGATGGGTCTAACCTACTTAAGAGAACACGGTACAGGTCAGTCACAACTTACAGGGAATGACAGCAGGAGGCAAAATCCAAAACGGAGGGGAAGAAAAAAAAAGGGAGGGGGGGGGGGATACTGTCCTCTTTGTGAAACTCCACACATTTAGCTGAAGTTCAGAGAGTTAAAAAGGGGGAGGGGGACATGAGATCGAGGCAGAGCCCTGAATACAAAACAACTATCTAAAGCAGAGGAATGTTGGCTCATTAAACAGAAGCAGGGTCATAACAAGCAGGGCGGTTTTCCATCTTACTCTCCTCCTTTAGAAGAACCGACCAGAGTACTGCTTCACACTGTAATAAAACAGTAAAAAAAAAAATAAAAAAATAAAACAGGAGAGAATTCACAAGAGTCAATCAGAGAGAACCAAAGAGAGCAAGCAGGAGATTTCAAAGCGTTAGTCCTGTCTTCCGTAAGGGAGGGAGCTGGGAGGGAAGGAGGGGGGGCGGGCTGTTATCAGGGGTTAGTAGAGTGAAATGCTGCTTCGCGGTTTGGGCCCAGATGAGGCGATGCCTGTGCCGTATGGCAGACTGTGATTTGTTGTCAATTTATCGGACTGAAAACAACAAAATCACTAGTCTTCCACACAGAACCAGGCCCGTTTTCCCCACGTCATGTGCTCAAAGTTCTTTTCCATCGAATTATTATATCAAATCGTTTAAAAACGAGTTTTTTTTTTTTTTTGGAAAAAAAAAAAAAAAAAAAAAAACCACACAGCAATTTCACAAGGGAGAAAGCTGAAGTTTTTCCCCAGAATAGAGAAGGAAGAGGTTAGTAAACACTAGCAAAGACATTAAAGGAATGTTTAAAACAGAGTGGTAAGGGGGGTGGGGGGCAAAAAAACAAAAAATAAAAAAATAGTGGAGGAGATAAAGACTGGTTTGGCAAAGATACAAATCACTCATACAAGGCGTCTAGCACTTGCCTATTCTGCAATAGGTACTGTGCATTTTGGATCTGGTCCTGTGTGCCTGTGATGGTAATGATGCGATCTTCAGAACCCTCAAGAGGTTCATCTATCTTGATAGACGCTCCGGACTCATGACGGATCTGCTTAATTCTCTGGCCACCTTTCCCAATGATCGATCCCGCCAGCTATGGTGAGTGGAACAGCACACCGTTATCCCCCGGATGCAGCTGAAGGGGGTGCTCACTCTCCCGGTTATATACTCACGTCTTTGGGGATTGTCACTTGTGTGGTGATGACAGGTCCCGCTATGTCACCGTAGGACCCACGCCCACCTGGGAGAGAAGAAGCATTTACACGGTCACACAAATGACATTCGTATGACGAGCCATTTGTTCCCTCAGTCTGCCGTTTACACTGGAAATTACATGGATGACTCACCAGACTGGAACGGCTCCCAGGACGAACTGTTATCTGCATTATCAACAGGAGGAGATGGGGGGCGGGGGGGAAAGAGATGAAAACTACATCAATCAGCTTTGGCAAACAAGGAAAAGGATAAAAACCTTTGAGTGGGAGATGGGTGACATAAAAAAGCTCATTCTGGCAAACAGCATCCACGAGTTAACCTTTGGAAAAGGTTGACTGAACTGAAGCTTCTGTTCCTTCCTTCATGAACACATGGTCCCATTAATTAAAGTATTTAATTTAGAAGATGCTGAAGCACAACTCACCATATCCACCACCACTCTGCATGGTCCACAGAGAGAGCGAGAGAGAGAGAGAGAGAGAGACAGAGAGGGAGAAACTCCGTTAAACAACATGGCATGCATGGACTTCTGCTTCAAAAAAAAAACCCTCAAGTAAACAAAGCCTGATGAGATGCTGTTTGTGCATCTTAAAGCCTATAAGCACGTTAAATTTATTTTCAGAAACTTAATAAGGGGGCTCTCAGCCTTCCCCCAGGGCCAGCGTCTCTACGCGCCTGGCATTCATCGGACTGCTTAATGGCTTTCACCTACGTATTCATTTGGCTTCTTGTTACCCTGGACAAATCAGAAATCTGTTGCCTAGCAATGCCAAGCGGCAGCCACAGCCTGCCTGGTGAAAGTGCAGCAGACTGCAGAATCGGCCATCTGCCTGTCAGCAGGGCTTCACCCCCCTTCACATTCTGAAGGAAACTGAAAATAAGTGCTCAAATTTGTACTTGACTACCTCTTTCATAGGTATGCATTATATTTTAACCGCAACAAATCCTGAATAACTATTTTTTTCCCCTTTGGTGAATTTAAAATGCAGTTTAATTAGATCACAAAGGACTCGTGGGTAATTGTGCCTCTTTGCAGAGTCAGATAATTGGTTCACATCCAGTGACTGTTACCTAGGAGGGGAAGGAGAGCCATCAGTACTGTGGGTGACCACTACAAAAGAGACCCCATTGGGGAAGGGGAGCAGGGTGGGCTCTCCTGAATAGACTGGGCAAAGGGGCTGTATTTGGGCTGCATTGTTCTAAAAAAACTGGGCAGGACTCTCGCTTCTTGGGCTTCTCTAGACTCCTCAATAACAGCAGATGGGAATCTGTTCTCATTGACGTGAGCCCTGATTCCCAGCATCTGATTGGATGGTCTCCACTCGCAAGGCAGGAGACTACTTCAGCTCCGTGCCCACTCAGTATATGCCCAGTTCCCAGAATGACCCACTTCACATACAGTCCGATCTTCCAGACAATACTATACGCTGATAGTGTGCCCAAGTGCCTTTTGCAAAAATTCAGTTAGGTTCAATTAGGGCTGCAGTCTTGTGCAACATACTTCAAAATCAAGGCTAAGACAAGGGTCTACTGCAAAAAAGCAGCTTCCACAATCTTTACTTGGAATACGTGAACAAAAGATATTCAGTAATTAAAACGATGAAACTGCTCCCACAAGCACCATTTCAAAAATGCAATTGTAAAGTTAGTCAATTCAATAACACCTTTAAATCAACAGCCATCTAGTTAGCCCTCAGTTACCAGCAGATCACTCACCATGCTGTCGTAGCGGTCACTGGGTCTCCCTCTTCGATCACTACTCGGACAAGGGGGGGTGGGTGGGGGGGTGGTGTTAACACAACTTACAGAAATTGCTCCCAATTAAATGATTCAAAGTCAGCCCGGGAGACACAATGATCAACATAAGTGTTACTCTTACTGAGGCAGACCTACTTGGGTGGGCAATAATTCCCACCAAGACAATATCCATAAAATGCAAGTTGTACAACAGTTCTGAGCAGTAAATATTCTTCAGTCGTGCAGGGAAAAAAAAAGAAGCAGACTATTGAAACGGCAGCTTCCAAGGCTTGTGAATGGAAAAACCACCAACCTTGGTCTGTCGTCTGCACTGCCATGATAACTGTCGTAGCCATACTGGTCGTCTCTGCGAGCGAGTCCAAAAGTGAAATCAGCAATCAGCAGTGTGCATCTCGTATCAAGACTCCACACTTGCGGGTCAGTGTGACAGCTGATCAGAGAAGCAGTGATACAATCAGCAGCACTAACAGACTAATTTCAGCACAGGAGGAAACGAACGCCCCCGCTCACTGCAAAAGGTCACAGAAGCCACAGTGAGCCAATAAGAAGCTCAAAATGTAATTAAATGGTAAGTATACTTTAAAACGTCCTTTTTAACATGCTGCATGCGTAATACATTCTACATGAAGGTGGGTCTACAGTACATGCAAGAGCTAACAAGATTTTGACAAGGGCAAATTTTCTTACCCTCCTCTAGGGGGCGGGGGTGGAGGCAGAGGGAGATTGCGAGCCCTGCTCCCAACTCTGCCCCCCCTCACTGGAGGGGGTGGGGGCGGCACACGGCGAGGGCTCATGTCATCGTAGTCCCGGCGGGCGGGGGGCATAGGACGGCCTCCGCGGCCAGGGGGCAGGCGGTCGAACCCACCGCGTCCGCGCATAGGGAAACCCATGGGCCTTCGGCCGCGTTCCTCAAACATGGTGAAGCCGCCGTAGTCATACGTCTCGTCATAGAAGTTGGGGTCATACGGCTGAGCCCGCCCTTTAATAGGAGCCTGTGTCGGTGGAGAAAAAAAAAAATGAGGAAAAGCTAAAATGCTGAAAAATCCACAAATTTACATTGGAAAATGGAATCTTGCAGGAATACTGGAGGATATCAGCAAGGCAAAAACAATTATATGGACATTTATGTATCGGGCATAAATTAATGCCCCGCTCATCAAATTCATCAAGTTTTAACTCATGGTAAAGAGGCAATATCTCAGGTGGAATGTTAAACATATTGATAAGAAGTCTAATTCATCCCAGTTCAGGTTTAAAATGTGTCAAACTGCTAGAGGGATAAATGCTGCCCCTGCAAAATGAGAGAAAATGTATGCACTACTGCATTTATATATGGACTTATGCATGAGGGACACACAACACTCCATGATGCAGTGTTGAGTGTTAATTGGAAATTTAAACTACACTCAGGATGAGCTTTATTGACCATGTAAGTTCACAAAAATTTGACTCTGTGCAAAGCTTACAGTGATCTCATTGTCAGTGATAAACCTAACATTGCACTAGGGCTGTAAAAAAATCAATTTGATAATCGATTAAGCATGTGATCAAGCAATCAACTAATTGATTAGCTGGGCCAAAACACAGGGTTTAAAGGGCAAATGCTTCTTTTAAAAAAAAGTATTTTTTTAAGTCAGCAATGACTTTACACAGTGTAGAGTCGGTAAAGTAACAGATCAGCATAGAAACAAAGATCTGCTGTCTCCACCCAATTAAGTTTCCCTATAAAAGTACTTTGCACCATGATCTATGGTATTTTGACAGCATTTTCATAAGCAATGATATTTCGCCATTTTGAAATCATGGCGATAAAATTCTGAGTTGTTTTGATTTCAAGATACCACACTATACCACATTACTTTAATATCAACCAAACCTAGTAGTAACTTCAAAACCCTTCATAAAGCTCTACACGTGTGCCGACCGTGACCATCTGCATCCACAGTCAAATGTAATATGTACACGATGGCTTTTAAATGTGTTCAATCAGAAACCTGCAATGTCCTTAATCGGACTGCTATTCACTGGAGAAACAGAGCTGCCAGACTGCAGGTTGACACACACTGGTCTTACAGCTATGTGACTGACGGTACAGACACGGCCTGACCCACCTCGGCGATCAGCTCCAGCATGATCTTGATGCACTCAACGACGCGGTCTGGCTTGCCTCCGACCAAAACCACACGGTCCGTGGAGTGAGGGCAGCACTCCTGGAACAGTTTGATGGTGGTCTGGGTATTCTGGAGGCAGATGGCAAAAAGAGAAAGGTCTGAGTGCAGTGCCCACTCCCCCATGGGGAAGCGACGTGTGCGAGGTCACCTGCACCCTCATTCATTAGCATACGCTAATGAGTGACATGCACTACTTCGCCTGCGAGACCATCACGGGGCACCAGAAGACATCGTTAGCAGTGATTAGTCATTAGCAGCTGAGCAAACTGTCCGCTTCTAATGTCATGAAAGATAAGCAGCACAGAAAGGGGGAGGGGGAGAGAAATAGAGAAAAAAAACTGAACTTATGAGAATGCTGTGGGGTCCTGACTATGCTGTTTCACTGGAAACCTAATTACCAGAAGAAATAAGGGACTGTCTTGCCTAGCCAAACATTCTAGAACTTACACCCAGTGCACATGCAACCCGCTAATGAACATGGTTCAAACACACCCTAACCCTACCAAGAAGTCAGGAGCCAGTTCCAATTACAAAGTGCCCCTTTTGAAATGGCTCAAAAGACTGGATACACAGTTTGAGATACTTGCGACAACCGTTTCTACCAAGTGTCTAAAACTAATGAAAGGATTTAACTCTTAACAGCAGTATTAATCTTTTTGGCCAGTTCTGCACACCACCATGCATAATACAGATGCATTTAACATGAAAATTACGGGACACCAGCTGACTGCATACAGAACACTCCGATTACTGAATTCTCAAATAATCTGAACCTGGCAGTGGCCAGCTCAACACCTTTCGATAGGAAACGGGGAACAGGAATAGGCCGGGGCCCAAACCAGTCATGGAGTGCCTGACCGATCAATGCCAAATATGAGCTAATTAACAGTTAATAATAATTAAAGGCCCTCTCTATTTGGTCAGACTGGCTGCTCCACAAACACACACTATAACCAGTATCCAAAACTGTTTTCCTGACTGTAGCTCTCCACCTGTTCAAAAACCAGTTTCACTGCAGCACTTTACTCTTGTCATGCGACTGACCCTTTTGTAAAAGTTGGCATGGAGACAAATTCTGTGCACATCTGTCCTGTGTCAGTCTACTAAGCATTAATGAATGCAATCGTCTAGTAAGTGGCAAAGGAAGCATGTGATCTCACACAAAAGAACTCCCCTCAACCCCATGACAAACAGCATTTCCAGCACAGAGATGGCACCTCACCTCCCGCAGTTCCTTGATTTTGGCACCTTTCACCCCGATGATGCTCCCAGCCAGACTCTGGTGGATCAGGAGCCTCAGCTCACAGTCAAAGTCAATCCCTTTATAATGCTGGTACTGTCGGAACCAGAAGGAGAATCAATCCCATGCACTGCGCACTCACACAGAGACCCGCTGCTCCCATCTGCAGACCACCCCGGATGGGCGCGCCCCCCAGCCTCACCTCCTCCAACGTGGGGATGATCTTCAGCAAGATTTCTCCCACGGTCTCAATGTCGGCGCTGATGCTCAGAATCCTTAACATACCAGGACATTCCCCCATGCAATTGCCAAAGAAGTGGAAATTAAAAAAAAAAAAAAAGGAAAGAAAAAAAGAAAATCTTTCAAACACAAAAAACTAATCAAAGGCAAAGGAGAAGTCTAAACATTCTGGAAGGATGAGACTCTTTGGGGTTTCCCAACAGCACTGGACTGATACACTGCATGAGTTAGCAACATGCACCTGCCTTAACTCAAATCTGACAAAACGAATGACAGGCCTTGGACGATGGGCAACTTGGAAGGGCTTAAGTGGGCAAAAAAAAAAGAAATCATACGGCTGACAGAGCAGAATTTGAAAGTTCCAGTCCTATCCCTCCACCGGCAATTAGGAGGGGTGGGGGCAGGGCGGGGTTTTGGGCCATCGCAATGGTGACACTAGCACGCCCTCTCACAGGGAAGGGGGGAGGAACAAAATCAAAGGGAAGCAGGAAGGTATGCAGGTGGAAGACACTTTAGAGCTGGCAGACAGAAGCAAGGCCATGAGAGATTGGTAGACAGACGTCTGACTGATGGAGCCCGTGAGAAACGGAACAGGAATGCAGCACGGGAGAAAGTAAGATGGCAGGACTAATGAGTGAGTGGGCAGAGCGCTAGCGGCATCTTACGTCATGGACAGCGATGTGGGCGAGGACAAGGAGGGCCACAAGGACAGAGCGAGAGAGATTTCCCCCAAAAAACTCATGATTATTAACACAGAAGGACACATGACACGGCAAGCTGCGCTCCTTCCATTCAAAATAGTCTTCCTGCGCGGGCTGTCGCACATATGTAAACTTTCGACAAAAAAGCTCAAAATCAAAAGACTCGATGGGGGGGAGGGGGCGGGAGTAAGACAGAAAAATCAAAACAGAACAGTAACACCATTTTCGAAAAGGGGATACTGTAACTCAACTGAAACATAAGGCAGGTTATAAAAGACATTTGTCGGCTGTTCTAATCAGGCAGTGAGGCAATAACTGGTGGGACATACCGCTCAGGGCCACTGCTGTCTGGGACTGATACACTGGCATTGTACTGCATTGGTCGTGGAGGTTGGCATTGGGCAAGGGCAATCAATCACAAGTTGTCATGTAAGGCGCCCGTTTGGGGAGGGGCACATTTATGGGCATGGCCAACCGGGGTGTCAGGTGGGCGTTCAGGGGCGGATGTTGGGCCAACGTCAAGGTGGGCAACGCAGGAGGGGCATGTCGATCCAGTACATGGGCAACGGAGGAAGGTGGCCAAAAATAAATAAAAAAAAAAAGGAGAGGGAAGAGGGGGAGAAGGAATACATTTTAATTGAATACAAGCTATACTCAGCACTACGATTCCAAAGAGAAACTTTAGGCTGTTGAAGAATGCACAAGGATCGTTTACTGCTGTTGTGTACACAGACATTTCATAATGGACTGATGAAGCACCAATTGTAGAGAGACTGTCGTTTTGCTCAAGGGCAGAGACAACTATTAACTCTTTGCACTAGTGTGGGCTATAAGGACAAGGCTTGCGGCAAAGGAACTGGTCACGGTCGTTAAACGACCCCCACCCACAGGAGCCATTGTCAGTACTAGCATAAAGGGAAATTGAATTAACTTAAACATATCGGACAACTTGGGGGGAAAAAATTTCAGGATGTACACAGACTAAGTGCACAGCACAAGCATGCGGGAGCCTGTTCTTTATCCCCAGCACTGTCCAAGGAAAAGATATTACACATATGAGTTTGATGTCAAAACTTCACTTAAGAGGATTCCTCTTCATGAGAATGATGGAGATGTCATTCAGAATTAGGTTTCGCAACATTTTGTGTGGGATATTCTAACAACTAGATTAGGGGAAAAAGTCACAGAACAAAAACTTAATTTCAAAAGTTTAACGCCAAGCCGACAATGAGTGTGAATGTAAAATTATCTGGTTTGACTGGATACTGGGGCAATAGTGTCTGTTAAGGGGATTGTTAAGGGACCCCACAACCCTGCAAACCCAATCCTGGGGAGGGACACAAAGTGACAATAATACCAATAACGAAAAGTCATAGAAAACTAAAATCAGGCCCAAGATACTTACATCCGTGCGCAGTGCCTTGATGTTTTTGCCGCCCTTTCCGATCACAGCTCCTGCGTTCTGCGAAGAGGGAAACAGTCACATTTAAAACGCCGCTGCCCAGGCTTGTGGCCACCGGGGAGGGCTCGGCCGCTCACTTTGCTCTGTAGAAGGATGCGCAGCTCCACCATCTCGTCCGTGTTGCGGGAGCGTTTGAACGCCTGCTTCTCGTCCATGTCCTCAGCTGGACGCTTTCCTGTGGACCGGCCTCGTTACATGACACAGGATACTAACAACGTGCGTGCGGCAGCCCACCTCACCACTGACGCAGCTACAGCTTTGGCGATTCACAGTGATGGACATTTCTCAGCCTATAGAAGTATTAATGTCTACAAAGCGAATTTTCGCTGCAGTTCATTTACTCTGCATTCAGCTACTCTGCATCAAAACACAGGTTACTGTTAATGTGCCTAAATAATAATGCCTAAGAAAATGTAAGACTTAAGAAAGCCTAATAACCAGAATAAAAGGATAGAAATTGGCAGAATTATTTTGTGTGGGCAAATAATATAAGCATATAATCACTTGTACAATTAAAAACCACAATCGTTATTCAGAAAGGAAAATTTACATAAATATAAAAAATCTAATTCCTCCCCCAATATATAATTAGACATTTCCACAGAACCACGTTAAAATTGTATAAGACTCCATTTGATTAAGATTTTATAGGTGAAAGAAAAATGCACTGGGACTCACCGTTTGTTTCAGTGTTGCTGAAAGTGCTCTCCTCTTCCTGCTGTTCGATTTCAGTCTCCATCGTCTCGCAGCAGCTCTGATATGAAACCGGACTCCTCTCTCCGTCAGCCTGCTGTGGGAGAGCATCGGTAAAGACGCCGCGGATGTCGAGCCCCTGACGAAATTCACTACATTTTAGGAGACTGGAGCGACGCTGCTTGCTTACCACTATTTATCTTGTTTAAATGGGCGTGCCGAGGGCGGAGTTAAAGGTCTTCAAAAGATCCGATTAAAACCTATTGGAGACAATCAAATCATCACGACACATTCAGATTCACCGTGTTCTAGTGTACTATGCTTTCTCTCAAGGTAATAAAACCACAGCATCTTTCGCCATGGTTTCGTACTGGAAACCTCAATAGGTTACCTGTTGCAGAGGTCATTCACATCGCAAAGTACAATAGCGGCTCTAATCGATTCTGCTTCTGAATATCGGTGCCGCATTGAAAATTGTAGCTGGCAAATAAACCGATCTACTCTATCACCGACCACTGTGTGTGGATGTGTCAGACAGACAGTGAACGTGTAGTGAGTGATAATTAGTATAAAAACAACCTATAGGTTTAAATGGTTTTCCCCACGAGATTTCTACCATTACAATCCAAGAGGAACCACTAAAACGACAATCCCGTGACTAGTCTATCTAATCGGCTAACAAAATGGATACATGGATCCGCGCAAACTGGCCATATCTGCGTTTTTAAGCCGACGCATTGTTTTATTGACGCGTTAACTAAAACCTATTCTCCCACATCCCTCCGAATAATGCAGACTAATGGGGGTTCGGGTGAACTCTGGCGGCCACAAAGCGTACTCCTGGTGTTTTGGACCACGGTCCGCTAGGCCCAAGCTATTCGCAAACAAAAGTGGCGACACTCAAACGCTGATCCTAAGCGTCCCTGTATGGCATAAAAAGTGAGCGAACTTCGCTTTTACAATTTCCAAAGTGAAAAATCAGCCGGGCCGAGTCGGGGGGAAAGCCATTCGATCGCTTTATATAAACCGAAAGTAAGAGGGACGATCCCCGGCTCCACACAGGAGGCCCGCCGACTGCTTGCGCAGATTTTTCAATACGTCGGCTAAACCTGCTGCGTATTTAACAACTCGGCGCGTGTAATTTTAATGTGTTCGTACTCTCGGCACATCATGCAGCAATAACGTCTTTATAAAGGAGCAGGCACAACGTACTCCGACTGGCTGTTATGGCGTCTCGTGCATACCGTATCTAGCTGGCGAGAATTTTATCATGATGGAGAATGGTTAGTCATCCGCCTCGAAAGATGTAATTAATTTTAAGAGAATGCTGTTACCAGGGAATGCATTCTAAAAGGCCCGTTCGACTGGACATTCCTCATTAATTTTTCCATAGGCTTTGTCTTATGAAGTTGCAGAGTGCATACTACTAACCTGCTCGCAGACCCCGATCTGCCGTCCTCGAACCAACTATAAGCCAAATCGCGCACGTACAACCTTGATTCTGGGCATACATTCGCCTCGATTGCGTATATTTGTTTTCTGATTGGCTAAATTTCGCAACTTGCTGGCGACCCTGGAAGATTATTGGACGAAGCCCATGTCACTCAAAGCAACCAACCAATTATCGAAAACATGAGTAAAGGGAAATTTGAATTATAGTTTGGTGGACTCTTAAACGGTAGTCAATTTAGATCTTCGTGTACGTACTTTTGTACATTATTTTCGTTGACTCGCTGCATTACATAACTCAGATGGGAAAAGCATTGCCTTAGAACTACCATTATCGAACTGCTGGGAGTGATATTTTACTTGCGGTTACTATAAGAAAATGTGGTAACGCCTCTCAGACTTTAATCTCGCGTTATTTCGGTTCTCTTTGGCGCCAGACTACGTGCGTTGAAGTGTGGCGTTGTAGTGAGTGTCTCATTTAAGTTCTGTTACTTTAAAAATTGTGCATGTAGTTATTATCACTCCTCTGTATTTGTAAACAACTCCTGCGATGTTAGAAATTGACGACTTACTTTGCTATTAGAAACGGGCAAAACATCTGACATGTTATCTGTCAACAGATTTTATGTTTTCATTTTATATCAACTGGGCACAAAATGATAATTAAATGCACGGTTAGCTGGCTACTGTCGATCATATATATAAAAGACAAGCAGTATCATCACGACGCCTCGTAAACAGGTACGAGATCGGTCATCTCCAGAGATAATAACTGTGGTGTCTTTATAAATTATTTAGAATTTGACCAGCATTTAATGAATTGCACATCGAGGCTAATTTCTCGTCTGGTATTTGTCGTTTATGTCGTATGTTAAATTATTAAACATGTCCTTCCCAGAAAAAAAATATCTGGGTAAGAAAAGCTGCATACATGGTATGAATATTAATTGTCGAAGTTTTTTTACTTTTGAAGAAAGATTGTGCTTCATTAAAGTCTGAGCGTACCGTTTTTTTTTTGTTATCCAGTTATCGATCCCAAAAAATCACGTGCTGTGAAACCGGAAGATGGACACTCTGAGCATGGTACAGAGGGCTCAGGCATGGCTGAAATCCACCTGGCACATTCAGGTGCCATTTTCTTGGCTGGAAGCCTGTGTGGACTGGATCCAGGGGGAGAGCAGAAGCTCCCGTTTGTCCCAGAATGAAGTAAACCAGCAGGTCCTGGAGCAGTGGCTGCTCACAGACCTCCGTGACCTTTCCTATCCTACTCTTCCTGACCGTGCCTCAGTGGTGCTGAAGACGGAGGTGAGCGGCTTCTATTGCCTTCAGATGGATTCTGTGCTGGACATCAGCCAGCCAGCCTACAGCCAGCTGCAGCAGTGGAAGGGAAAAGAATGTTCCAATGACACGGTGTCAGCTGACACGCAGGCCACCCAGAGGGCCTGGGAGTCGAAACCAACGCGCATGCTGCTGCTGCGGCTCACTGACGGGGTTCAAAACCTGGAGGGGATGGAGTACCAGCCAATACCGTTCCTGAACGTTAATCTCCATCCTGGCACCAAGATCCTGCTTCAGGGAACGGTGGCCTGTCGCCTCGGTGTGCTCCTCCTTAAGCCCGAGAACGTGAAAGTGATTGGAGGAGAAGTGGAGGACTTGCTGGAGCAGAATTCCCAGGGCAACGTGCTGTGCCGCTTACTCCACCTGCCGGGAGAACGCCCTCAGGAAAATGGCGAGCAGGGGGTCGAACCACGTCGTGCTGAAGAGACCCTGAGTGATGAGGAGCTTCTTGCTGGCTTAGGAGAAGAGCATCAGATGAGTGTGGAAGTGACTGCAGAAAGCGGGTACGGCAGCCGGAGCAGAGCTGCTAGTGGAACAGGCCACGTGCCTTCCTTAGAGAGCTATAGCTCACACCTGGGAGTCTCGTCAGTGGAGGGTTCAGTGTCAGGAACAACAGTCGAGTCAGCAGCCGACTGCCCACAAGTGGAGCTTCTGGATGAAGACTTTGATATTCCTTTTGAGGAGTTTGATGATGAACCATTTTCTGACACCACCTTTGCAGCTAGTACTGGGCAGGCTTGCATCAACCCTGCGTCCGCTACAGCGTCAACGTATACTTCAGGTACGCCGACTGACAGAACCGGCGAGCAAAGTAACACTTTTACCGAAAATGCCTTTGTAGATTGGATGCCCCATACTGTTGATGTCGGCCTGGATTCACCGCCTTTCACTTACCTCTCGGTTCTGCGGGCGGATAAAACTCCTGGAGTTAAAGTGGTGAGAGTGAAAGCTTTTATAATTACACTCTTGGGAAGCCTCCGGAAAAGCACTGGAAAGTGGCAGGTGAGAGTCACCATTTCTGACGGCTCCCATTACTTGGACGCCGATCTGTCAGACTGTGTTCTTGCCAGTCTAATCGGCTTTTCGGTCGCACAGTCGAATGCTTTAAAGAAGGACCCAGAGCAGCGCAAAAAGGTGACTGCGGGGCTGCAGTATTGCCAAAAGGAGCTAGTCGACATGTGCTGTCTCATGACGGTGGAGTACGACTCTGTCACTGCAAAGGCGGAGGTGATCAGGGTAGAGGAGGCCTCCTCGCAAGACAGCAGGGCCTTGGAGAATCGCGTGAAGAACAGGATGAAGTCATAAAACACCCATATCTAATAAGATGGGCTTCGGTTTTAACTCATTGTATGCCACGTGGGATGGCTTTGCATAACTGAAATTTGTATTCAGTTTTTAAAGTATGATCTTTGACGATAACCAATAAATAGTGTGAGAAGTTAAGATGTTTGTAAAATGAAAGTAATTGAGCAATAATAATTGGATGCACCAGTGAATGATGGACAAATGCATCAAGACACTTTCATTGTTTGATTTTGCCAGAGTTTGTCTTTTCATACACAAGGTCTGTTCTGTTTAGAGTGGGAGGCCCTGGTTGAATGGGCATTGCTTTGATTACTCTGCACATGTATGAGTGGCCACTTCAGGGACTCCCGTAATTAAATGATGGAAGCTAAACTATCTGACGTCGTGAAGAGGTGTAGAAGGTCTCAGCCTAATGCTTGTAAATACAACATCTTGTTAATTATACAGTTACACATTTTTTGATATTTTGAATGGATTACTGCTGATTTAAGAATTGTAATTTAAGAATCCCCCCCCCCCCGACACACACACACACACACACACACACACACACACACACAGACATACATACTTTTGCTGCGTAGTGATTAGTCACGTCATATTACAGTAGTCTTGCAAATTTTGGTAGTGTATTCTGGAATTATTACTGGTGTTTATGTGTTGTATCTTGCTTTTTCTTGCTGGCTTAAGGTAATTACCAATCTACCTCATTGTTTTGCATTTTTTCCCCCCATTTCCATCAGCTTTTAATAAATCAGCAGCTGCAATATGGCAAAATTAGTCGGGGTATATGCCGGTTGATGAGTTACCACAGTGCCTCAACGGCTTTGTCGTAGCTCTTATCCCTGAAGATGTCTGCCGCAGACCCCAGTGGCCGTCTGCCTTCTGATATGCTTCTGGGGCAGCCATGCTGCCGCTCTTCATTGACATGCAGAGCTGTGCCTGTGCACTAGAATCCGCTGTCTGAATTCATTATTTGTTAATCAAGTTCAACATCTTAATTAGTAACCTGCGTTGCATTTCATTACTCTGTTATTCGGTAATTACCTGCCCCGTGTTTAAGAGCGGCTAATGGTAGGTAGTGAGAGCACATAATCTTGTAAAATTATATCCCCAGATGGACATGGAAAAAGCAGACTGGGGTTACTCAGCAGGTCTCCGGGAAGAAGTCGCCAAGGAAATACAGTGCATAATGGTTTTACTGCCGTCACTGCAATACACATCCTTGTACATAGTTTGCATGCGTTGCACTGCATGTTGTTAAACATATCTACTGGAATACATTTAAGTGTATGCTTTTACACAACATTATATAATAAAATGTTAATTAAATATAACTTCTGTTTCTCATAATATTATTTTAGAACAAATGCTTAAGGCACAATTATGGCAGGCATTTAAAAAAACACTTAAAATGCAAATCGGTGGAATGAAATTAGTTGCTTTCCAATTAACAATAGTTCTACTACCAGAGAATTATTAGGACTCAAATGTGATCCATCCATCTTCTGAAACTGCTTGTCCTATTCAGAGTCACAGGTGGGTCCAGAGCCTATGGGCACAAGGCAGGGAACAGCCCAGGATGGGGCACCAACCCGTCACAGGGCACACTAACATGCACACCTATGGGCAATTTGGAAACTCCAGTTATCCTTGGTGTGTTTTTCTACTGTGGGGGGAAAAGCCAGAATACCCAGAGGAAGCCCCATGATGACACAGGGAGGGAACGCAAAGTCCACACGTGGAGTCATGATGGAGACTTGAACCCTGCTCCCAGAGGTGTGATGCAATAACAATGCACCACAGCACTGTGCTTCCTCCTCAAACGTGATCTTAATTTTTCATTTAATATGAAATGGTAATCTAAGTTTCTGCATTTTTATTAAATTGTTCAAAATGGTGGTTCGTAAAAGCACTGTAAAATCAAAGGCAGAGTTATGCTTTATTATGGTGTTTACTAAAAGCAGCTCTTAGTCGTAGCAGGAAGGAATCTGATTGTTATGCAGTTTTCTGGCATTCGGAGAAGAACATTGTTTGGGAAATTGTAAACGTGTAATTTAATAAATTCTTACAGAAGTAGTGGAACTACTCAAGGCCCCTAATTGATGCCATTTTTTAAAAAATAATTTATGTACCTCTTGTTTTAGAGATTGTAGTTCCTAATCAGAGTGAGAGCTAAAAGGGGTATTTAACTCGGGGGCAAATATTTCGAAATTGTAAGCTCAAGTGGGGAGAGTACTGTGCTAATTTCTCCAACGTTTCTCTAAGTATTTCAGATATTTTTTTTTTGTGTTTGGTTTTTTGAAAAGCATACATTGGCCATCTAAACTAATCTCTGTAACCCTTCTTTATGTGGCATAATGCAGAGGGTAATGAAAATTCACTAATGCTATCTTTCATCTAGTTCTCCAAATGGACTTTCTTGCTAGGTTCCGTGATTCATTTTTCCCCGCATGGGGATGACAGCTATTAAGGAGAAGTAACTTGGAAAACTGGCCCTACGAAACTAGGTCTAGGTAATTATCTTATTTATTGCGATGAAGAGCATGGCATGTGTTTTGTTCATCACTGTGCTTTCAGCTGAATCCTGGTATGAAGGTCTGTTCTTTTTAGGGCAGATGTTTTGCTTCCGTTGCATACACGGCATGATGTGATGCGGACTTTCTGCAGGTCTATCCTCCGAAAAAAATGATCGCAGGCCAATTTGCTGATGAATAAGGCTAATTTATGTGATTTTAGCCATCTAATAGGGAAGCTTGCGCCTGGTCATGAAATATAACTGAACTTTGTAGTTGTCTGTTCAGCCAAATCTGTCTGTCTAGATTAAAGAAACGAGAATAGCTATAAGCGCACCTATTTCCTGCATGTTTACACGAGAGGCTCTGCTCGTGCTTTTTCTGCGGAAAACCATTAGTCTGCTTTTACCTGTCCAGCTGAACAGCCTGTTTGGGAGATTTTGTCAGTGTATCATATCTTTCTAAAGCTAATTGCTTAATGTTAATAATGATCAAAATTACTGTGCCTTTCCTGTCCTCATAGCATTTCCTCACATCCATCTAACCCATACTGAAAGGGTCATACTTTGTATGATGATGCTGAACTTGTATGTAAATAGCGTGAACGTGTTACATCCTACATGCAAAATGTGTTTGCAGTGACTGTGTTGCACCGTTGCTTTTAGCAAATTTCACGTTCAATGCTTTGTTGCTTATTGTAGTGTATTGCTTCCCTGCTTCAGAGTCCTCCCTGCACAAAACAAGAACGTATACTCACCTCACGGCTGTCAGATACACCCTTGCATGTGACTTAGTCAGGCTCTTACTCAAAATGTGAGCTGTTCTCTCGTGGTGATTAAACAACTTACATTGAATTTCTGTTTTCTTTTTTTTTTTCCTTTTTACTCCTGGATTCACAAAAAACAGGCCTGTATTCTTATATAAGCTGTACAGAATGGCATATTCCAGTCGATAAATTACATAAATATTTAATTGTGATGTCCCAATTATCAATTATTAGCTCAGCTGTGTCACTGATGATCTGAAATTGATATTGTTTAATGTGATAAAATGAGTCTAAAATCATATTTACAGTATGATAATTAACTCCAGTGAGCTGTGTTTAACCCCTTGAATTTTGTTTTCATTGATAGTCTCCCCCATAGGAAAGTAAATGGGGTAAATGCTGGCCACACAGGGCGCGTGAGGAATTTGCATGTTCTCTCAAATTTGCGCCTGCAATTCAAAGATTTGCATTTAGCAGATGGGGAGACTCACGCAAAATGGGCAGTTCTGTGTACGTATGTGAGCCCTGCAATGGTATGGTGTTGCATCCAGGGTTCCCCCCCCCCCCCCGTGTCTTGTCCTGAGTGCTAAATGATGGGAGAATGGATGGATAAAAATCAGAACAGCTTCACTAAAATATCCTGTTCATATTAAGAGAATGACTAAGCTAGATGAGCTGTTTTCAATAGCAGTGCCTACTAAGAAAATTAGAGAGAACATGAACTTAGAATAAGAAGAGATACAACAATGTTGTGCTGATTTTGAGGTGCATTTTGTCTGAGTTACACCACATTCTCTCTGAAGCCGTTTCTGTGAGTGATGTCTGTTGCCCTTCTGAATTATTCAGTCCTTATACAGTGTCCAGATTTTGGAACTGGAAGTTATTGCAAGCAGGTTTTTTTTAACTGAACTGAAGATTTCTAAATGGGGGGGGTTATTTTTTGCTGATGTATAAGGGACAAAATGAAAAGCTGATTGCATTCTTGCCTCCCGACTTGGCCTTTTCCCTATCAGAAACTGAAGCCACGGGTCTTTTTTTGCTTCAGTCTTTATGTTCGGTGTGATTTTTGCCCTTTCTGGTTTTTGCAAGATGCTCAGGGGACACGGGGCAGTTCAAGTCTTTCTGCAGAATCTTAAGGAAAATCCATACGTGAAGGTGGATGGGTCACTCCAGAGCTATTTCGTTTGTTATCTGTGAGCCACTTCAATGTATCTTCAGCCTTGAGTATTGAATTACCATGCCGCTAACAAAAAGCATATTTTCCTTCAGTGTTTCCCCGTCCTCTGCTCCATCCATTTTCCTTCAATCCTAACAAGCTTTTCATTTGAGCGACATGAAGTGCTGCTGATGTGCTCTGTTGAGCCTTTGCAAGTATGACGCTTGGTGTTTAGCACAGAACTATCCAGCTTGCTTTCATGTGGTTACATTTTGACACATTTTTTGTAGCATCGCTAAGGTGTCATCTCTGTGCTGGCGCCCTCCCCAGCAAAATACTTTTGTGAAGCCTTCTGGATGTTGTTGACTGATGCAAGTTTCAGCGACTGAATGCTGTTTTGTCAGCGTCAATATCTTTCGTCACTTAGCTGTTCAAACTGGGGGGGATATCCCTGCTTCTGTCGTTCGCCTCCCTCTCTGGCTGGAGTAGGCTTTGTTCAGAGAGGGTTTACAATGATTTTTATCTTGGATTCGCTTTTTAAGTTCCTCATTCTTGTGCCTGTGAAATTCTGTGTAACCGAGCAGCTGTGGAAATGGGCTTTTTTTTTACCATGAAATCACACCAGTCACTTTTAATGTATACGGAAGGACGCCACTCAAAAACTCTGTGGCTCATTAGCATAAATTTGTGCACTTATATTTAGGTTCACCGATAAGAAATACGGTGAGTTATTCCATTTTTGTTTCACATAACATACTGTATTTACTGCTCGCTTTCTGCTTTGGCTGCACGGTGTAGGTTTTGTATATAACAAATGCTAGTAAGTGTCATGACAAGGAGCTTTAAAGCAACAAAACATGAGGCAAGGCAGCATAATGCACTGACGGCCCTTTTGGGGAACTTTCATTCAGAGGTGGCGAGCTTGGGCTGATTTGCTGAGAAACTGTGAGAACTACAGAGCAAATGCATTTGGTGCCTCCTTCCACAGACGAGCTCAGGAGGAGTTAAGAGGCTATTACCTCGAAAGAGAGAATAAAGGATGACAAGTTCACAATGGGTTTTTGAAAAAACCCTGCCGTCTCTTTTGACCTGTTACTGTAGCAGGGTTCATTTACTCTATATGAAATAATTATCAATTTGAACATATTCTGCAGAAGAAATGTATTTCAATGCCAGCTCAAAAGGAAAAGAACAGTCTGGTCTCCACTTTTCATGGGCACTGGCTGTCAGCAGAATTGAATCCATCATTCTTTTATGCCCATTGGAGTGTAATTTGATCAAATTGTAAAACCCCATTTCCGTTCCTGACAACAGCTTCGGTCCCTGAATAGTTTTAATGGCTCTAGCCTAATATCGTTCCGAATTAAACAAGAAAGAAAAAAATAAGTGGTTATTAATAAGAACAGAGACCTGAAGAATAAAAGGTTTGGCCTGTAGACTGGGGTCAGTATTTGCTAATTGCAATTGTGTGTGTAATTTTTTTATTTTTTTTTGCTGCATTGATTGACAGTCAGCCAGCCATCCAATGAGTGACCCTGGTGGTGCAATGAGGCTAACAGCAGCATATGTGTGCACCTTGTACACAGGTCGGATCCAGGGGGCTTAACGAGCGCCTCGCCGGAGAGAGATGTTTCCGACGCATGCACATTGCTAATCTAACGCTTACCCCGCAGGCGGCTCGTTCCCCACGTTTCTCCTCCACGGAAAACAAATAACACAGAGACCGCGTGTAAGTCATCTGCTTTGAATGCAAAGCAGGGCATTTAAGTGTGTTTATGGGCTTCCTTAATGCTTTTTATTCATGAAGGAGGATATGAGTGAAAAGGCCACAGCCTGAAAGGAAAACCATGTAATCAGGAAATAGAGGAAGGGAAGAGCGTAGAGAGGGAGAAATTAGGCTTGACAAAGGTCATTTGACTGGCAGTCTAATCGGCGTCACTCAAAATGACTTCCCTGCTTTTGGCCGCTTGTGCTGCAAAGGTGATGAAAAGTTTTTTTTTTTGTTTTCTTTTGTTTCTTAGTCAATGCCAGCTGGTCAATTTAAAGCAGCACACTATGTGGAAGATGCTATTTCTTAACGTCAACATTTCCAAGAGGTTAGGGCTCTCTTCTCTGTATCAATCAGGACGTGCAATTTCAAGACATGGTCAAAGCCCATACAGAGCCCCGGCTAAGCCTCACCCCCCCCACGCCCGACATATTCCTTGCACCCATGGCCAGGGGTGGGTGCCGGCAGCGAAGCTTGCTGGGGGATAGTGCTGGCGGCTGTTAAGTCGGCACCCCTTCAGAAGGCAGCCACCTGTGTCCCCTAATGGGCTGACTGGCACTGATTACACAGAACCTCTGTTTAGTGATATATTTAATTAATTATCCCCAAAATAACTGGTTTGAGAAACACTACTTTAAACTTCCAGCCCTTTCCCAGATATTTTCACCTCGTTTTTATGCATATATTGTCACATACTGTAGACGCACATCAAGGGCTGCACAGTGGGGTTTCCCTTTGACCCTGTAAAGCCAGAAATTACACTTAATTTTTCACATAACAGTGAATCTGAAAAACTGACATTTCCAGACAAACTATTTGTCTGAATTAAACTTTACTGACAATCCTGTACTGAGTAGATGGATGGATGGATGG